GGTGGCCCGGGGGGGGCCGCAGGGACCCCCTGACCCCGTGTCCAGGCCGCAGAACGGCTCGGTGATCCTCTACAACCGCAAGAAGGTCAAGTACCGCAAGGACGGCTACTGCTGGAAGAAGCGCAAGGATGGCAAGACCACCCGCGAGGACCACATGAAGCTGAAGGTGCAGGGGGTGGAGGTAGGAGGCAGGCGACCCCCCAAAACAGAGCCTCCCCCTCCCCAAAAAAACGCCCTCCGGAAAGCGCCGCTTTGCGTGGAACCGGTCCTGTTCAGGTGTGGGGAGATGGGGATGCACCTGGGGGGGCTTCGGGGGGTCGGGACGCACAAAAGGGGGGGTCAGAGGGTGCTGGGTGTACTCGAGGGACAGTTTTGGGGTGCTGGGGACACCCAGTGGGTGGTTTGGGTGGTCCAAGAGGTGTTTGGGATCCCCAGGGTGTGGTTTGGGGTATTGGCAATTTGTTGTCTCGTTTATGGGATATTTATGGGGACTAGAGGAGGGAGGATGCCCCCAAACGCCCCTGTGGGATTTTGTCTCCCTTTTTTTCTGGGGTGAAGCACGAGGCTGTTTTGGGGGGTCGGGGAGGGCACCCCAACCCCCTTCCTGGAGGGATTTTGTGCTGCGACTTTCCCAGGGGACGGAGTGGGGCGGGGGGCTGTGCGTGGCAGTTTCGGGGGGCTCTGGTGCTGAGGGGTGTCCCCCCCTGCCCGCAGTCCACGGGGTGAAGTGGGGCTGCGGGAACGGGGGCGCTGCCCCCGCGCTGTCCCTGGAGCAGCTGGTGCAGCACGTCCTGGAGAGGCACCAGGCCCGGCCGCCCCCCCGCACCCACGCCTGCCTCTGCGCCGGGGGGCTGGGTGAGACGGACCCCCGGGGAGCCCCCGGGACCCCCAAACCCCCAGGGAATCCACCGGGACCCCCGAGCCCCCGGGGAACCCACCAGGACCCCCAAACCCGCAGGGAATCCACCGGGACCCCCAAACCCGCAGGGAACCCACTGGGACCCCCAAACCCGCGGGGAACCCACCGGGACCCCCGAACCCCCAGGGAACCCACCGGGACCCCCAAACCCGTGGGAAACCCCCCGGGACCCCCAAACCCCCAGGGAACCC